AGTAAATCCTGCTCCATAGGGGTGTCTCCAACACAGCAGCTCTTTGGCCATAGTTGCAGCTGGTCCTCACAGCTGATTGGTCTGGGGGTCAGTTCCTCCCAGTGACGCCAACAGCAACCAAGGTGCAACTACAACAGTACAGTGCACACAGCCCACACAGGGGAGCACCTAGAAGGCCCAGCTCAGGTGACTGGGGAGGCTGAGCCACTGGGCCCTACGGGACACCTACTACACAAAGCCACTCTACAAATTCCAGGAGACATAGCAGCTCTACCTAATACATAGAAACAAACACCTGGAAGCAGCCAAAATGCAGAGAGAAAGAAACATGTCACAAAGAAAGAACAGAAGAAATCTCTAGAAAAGGAACTAAATGAAATAGATCCAAGCAAACTAACAGATACAAAGTTCAGAATAATTGTTATAAGGATGCTCAAGGATATTAGTAAGAGTATGATGAAAATAATTGAGAAAATCAATGACATAATAAACGACTAATTTGAAATGAAGGCTACATGAACTGAAATGAAGAATAATTTACAGGGAATCAACAATAGAGTAGAGGACACTGAGAATCAAATGAGCAATTTGGAACAGGAAGAAACAAAAAACACCCAACCAACTAAAGAATTTATATGCATATATGCACAACCGAAGGACACGGACAATGGTGGGGAGAGGAATGGGGAGAGGGATGGGGCGGGGTGGAATGGGTCATTGGGGAGAAAAAGGGACATCTGTAATATTTTAAACAAAAATTAAATTTTTAAAAAAACACCAGNTGACATAATAAACGACTAATTTGAAATGAAGGCTACATGAACTGAAATGAAGAATAATTTACAGGGAATCAACAATAGAGTAGAGGACACTGAGAATCAAATGAGCAATTTGGAACAGGAAGAAACAAAAAACACCCAACCAACTAAAGAATTTATATGCATATATGCACAACCGAAGGACACGGACAATGGTGGGGAGAGGAATGGGGAGAGGGATGGGGCGGGGTGGAATGGGTCATTGGGGAGAAAAAGGGACATCTGTAATATTTTAAACAAAAATTAAATTTTTAAAAAAACACCAGACCAGAAGAGCATAAAGAAAAAAGAATCCAGAAATATGAAGATAGCATAAGGAGCCTCTGGGATGACTTCAAGAGGCCCAACATTTGTATTATTGGGGTGCCAGAAGGAGAGGAAAGAGAGCAAGGAATTGAAAACCTATTTGAAAAAATAGTTACAGAAAACTTCCCCTACCTGGGGAAAGAAATAGACTTACAAGTCCAGGAAGCACAGAGGGTCCCAAACAAGAAGAACCCAAAGAGGCTCACAGCAAGACGCATCATAATTAAAATGCCAAAGGTTAAAGACAAAGAGAAAATCTTAAAAGATCTCATAAAACTCAACACCAAACAAGCAACCCAATCAAAAAGTGAGCAGAGGACCTGAACAGACACTTCTCCCAAGAAGACATACAAACAGCAAATAGATATCTGAAAAATGTTTGACCTCACTAGCAATTAGGGAAATGCAAATCAAAACTACAATGAGATACCACCGCATGCCTGTTAGAGTGGCTATTATCAACAAGACAGGCAATAACATCTGTTGGAGAAGTTGTGGAGAAAAGGGAACCCTCATAAACTGCTCGTGTGAATGTAANTAAACTGCTCGTGGGAATGTAAACTGGTACAGCCACTATGGAAAGCAGTCTGGCAATTCCTCAAAAAATTAAGAATAGAGCTACCATACGACCCAGCAATCCCTCTCCTGGGCATATACCTGAAAAACTTGACAACATGTATGTGAAAAGATATATGTACCCCTATGTTCATTGTAGCATTATTCATGGTAGCCAAGACATGGAAACAACCAAAGTGTCCTTTAATAGATGACTGGATGAGAAAATGTGGTACATGTACACAATGGAATACTACTCAGCCATAAGAAAGGCTGAGATACTGCCATTTCTAACAACATGGATGTACCTTGAAAATATTATACTAAGTGAAATAACTCAGTCAGAAAAAGCTAAGAACCATATGATTTCACTCATATGTGGGATATAAAACTGCATCTCGTGGGCACAAACAGGAGTGTGGTAGTTGCCAGAGGGATGGGGGTAGGGAGGTAGGGGGTGAAGGGGGTCTTAATATACGCTGATGGGAGAAGATCTGACTTTAGGTGGTGGGCACACAGAGCCATATACAGGTCTTGTAACATAGAAACCCATACCTGAAACTTATATGTTCATATTAACCATTGTCACCCCAATAAATTTAAGAAGCATTATTAAAAAAAGAAACCAAGACATATTTAGAAAAAGATTGCATTCTGACTCAATAATAATTTTTCCACTGGCAAAATTAGCAAATAGAATTCTGTGGACATTAAGTTTTTAAAAAGCCTATGTGTTTCAATAACTTGTTTAATCTTACCAAATGAAGTACTTCCACAATGAAGTAAACTAAGTATTTATCATTATTAACCATTTTTATGACTTTAAAAATAAAGTTTTCTCTGTGTTAAGTAAGCAATCAAAAGATATAACAAGGAATTATAAAAGCTCTGATTAAAACCTAAGATTTTTACGTAATAAAAACCAGATTAATTGCTGGTATGAGTTTGCAATTTTGATGTATAACTATGTTGTCACTTTTTGTTAATACATGTTTTGTTGTTCTTTGTGCAGAAGAACACTACAAATGTATTTGAAATCATATCAAGAGTTGGCATCCATGATTACTTTTACCTACAGACCTAAGAATCTAGAGTTTATCTATGCTAAATAAGACATCAATTAGAGAATTCATTCTCTGGGACTTAGAGATGACACAGAGTTACAAGCTGTGATATTCTTTCTGCTGTTCACCTACTTATTGAGAGTAACTGGAAATCTTACCATCATCATGTTAACACTATCAAATGTTAGTTTGAAGACTCCCATGTATTTCTTCTTCAGGAATTTCTCTTTCTTAGAAATATCATTCAAAACAATCTGTATTCCCAGGTTTCTGGTCAGCATCACTACAGGAGACACAACTGTTTTTCTATAATGCTTGTGTGACACAAGCATTTTTAAAATTCTTCTGGGCTACCATGTCCTATGACCACCATGTGGCTATCTGCAAACCTCTACATTGCACAACTATCATGAGTAACAAAGTCTAATCAACTTGTGACCAGCTCCTGGCTGGCTCGTTTCCTCATTATCTGTCCCTCTGTGATTATGGGCCTCCAACTGATGCTGGAAATGTATACATTAATATCAAATGGTTACCTATTGCTTAAAATGAAGATTTCCTAATTAGGTATCAAGTGCTTAAAATTTTATATAAATAAATAAATAAATAAATAAATAAATAAATAAATAAATAAATAAATAAATACAAAGCCAACTCCTTTAAAATAAAAATATCCGTGTTGTAATTTTTCTAAAATTATATTTGTCTCTAAAATAGTATTTGTCTGGTGATGAAGTCTCTAATAATTCAATTATTAACAAAACCTCTGTTTCTAAAGTACCGTTATAATTACACAAAAGTTATTTAAATATGCTAGTTTTCGCTTATAATATGTTCAACAATAAGATACTATTTCAAAGAAGTTATATTTTTTAGCATTGAATTTATTCACTATGAAATGAAGTATGCTTAGTTTTCTTATTATTAAAAAATAGCTTTGATACGCATTATTAAAACATATCTTGGGTTTATGTTAATGTTGAAAATTATATAGAAACGTAAAGGTGAAATTTGAGTTGTTTCCTTACTAGTCCTCTGCCTGTTTTGCCTTTCGTATTTTAAACTGATTGCCCACAGTGTTAAGAATGATACATGGAATACAGGAATATGAACATCTGAAAATGTTGTTTTATTTTTGCTAAGTTTCTCCATGTCCCCAAATATTTGGCCAACATTCTGCTGGATTACTTCCCAAAACTTCTCCTGGGACACAGATCTCATAATAAACCAATTAAAATATACTTGCCAAAGTTTTTCTTGTGCATGATTCATCAGTGCCCTATTATTATTTTCCCAAAGGTCATTAAGAATTTATTTCAAAGAATATTTCTAAGAAAAAAAATTTCTGTAGCAAAACACATTAAAGGTGCTAGGCTTACTTTTTGCCTAAGGAAAATAAATGGCATTGGCCTTCGGTAAAATATTAGGATAGCTTATCAAAAAATAATTCTGAATTTGTTTTATTTCATAAATTTTATCTGAAGATTTGGTGTTAAGGCAGGTGGACNGAAAATAAATGGCATTGGCCTTCGGTAAAATATTAGGATAGCTTATCAAAAAATAATTCTGAATTTGTTTTATTTCATAAATTTTATCTGAAGATTTGGTGTTAAGAAGGCAGGTGGAATATTTCAGGATTTCAGATTCGAAACAATGGTGAGGAAAAACATGAGGAAACTCCTTCATTAGATGTTTTAAGATGAGACATCAGGTTTTTATGAAGGAATATACAGCTTCACGGGAAGAGAGGGAAACAGTTGCTTCTCCATGAACTGTTAGCCTACTGCTTGGCTTTTGATTTAAGATATTGCACACATTAGTTTGCATCCAATATTTAACATTAACCATCAATCTTTTCACAATATGTAAGTATTCTTAGTTTGTTTTTATTTGATGTTTCAACTTCTGTTCATTATACAGCATTGATTACCACCCCTAGTGTATTTTTCTCTCATTCTGTATACATATATATGTGTGTATGTGTATAATATATTATATATATTAAATATATATAATATATATTTAATAGGTAAATATATATATAATAGGTAAATCAATAAACAGAAATGGGAAAAATATTTAAAATGGTGATTTCTATAAATTAACTGAAATACGTGGAATATGGCATGGTTTCCTTAATATTGGTACATTTACACTTAGAAAGACCTGATGCATATTCCTGGTGTGAGTGTTCAAGATAGTTCTAAATAACATATGTAAAGTGTTTGCATATTTCATGTCTAAACTTTATATATATATATGAGTAGTTCTGAAATTCATTAACATATTTAGTGAACATGTTGCTTGATGCTCAATTGTTGACTAGATTTTTTAAAACTTTTATTGGGAATTTTGAAACAATAAAGTGAAAAACAAGTTTTATTGAATTTTCACGGAAAGACATCTTTTTTAGAAAATAAAGATAAAAAGAGAGGGGTTCAGAGTGTCCATTGATATCTGGAAATGAATGTGTAGTAGATTGAAAACATATGGATACTATTTATACAAACTTCTGTTTATATAAATAAAAGTTTATAATACAATGTTAGAATGACTTGGTCTCTAATTTTTTATGAGGAAAAGGGCAGTAAAGAAATAAATATAGTATTTACTACTCCTCAAAAAGAATTTTCACTGGAAAATATTAATTAGAGTCGGGTTGATCATTGATTTCCATCATCAATAGGAATTTCATGCCTGGAAAAGATGACATAAGAAAAGCATTATGTCTTCTACATTTTAGCTAAACAATGAAGCATGAGAAGAGTTCATGCTCAATCAATAGATTTTCCATGTGACAACTGTGAGTAGTGGAGGTACAGTAAACAGGTAGCAAGGAATCAGAGGACATTGTTCAGAGTAATACCACTGATGTTAAGCACAGAAGATACACCCATAAAAAGTATAATAGAATTAAGGGACATGGGGATTGCATAGAATGTATTAAAATAATTTTTTAAGGCTCAGATACCTCTTGTGAAAATAAAATCACCACTTTAAAAACAGGTGCAGATACTTACACTTGTCTAACTGATTTATTGTTGTCCGCTTTGATTCTTGCCAGCCAGACTTGTCAGAAATCACCCACCAGAAATGACAAATCGAACATCCATGACAGGTTTCATTCTCCTGGGCCTGACAGACAATCCAAGTGATACAGGTCGTGATTTTCTTCTTTTTATCATTCACATACATACTGAGTGTTGCTGGAAATCTCACTATCATCATCCTTACCCTGCTGGATTCCCACCTGAAGACCCCTATGTATTTTTTTCCTCAGGAATTTCTCCTTCTTAGAGATTTCATTTACTTCTGTCTGTAACCCCAGGTTTTTGATCAGCATCCTAAGCGGAGACAAATCTATTTCCTATAATGCTTGTGCAACTCAGCTGTTTTTCTTTATCTTCCTTGGCTCAACAGAGTTTTTCCTTCTGGCCTCTATGTCCTATGATCGTTATGTAGCTATCTGCAGACCCCTGCATTACGCAACCATTATGAGTAACAGGATCTGCTACCAGCTTGTAGGCAGCTCTTGGCTGGCTGGTTTCTTGGTCATCTTTCCACCACTGACCGTGGGCCTGCAGCTGGATTTCTGTGGCTCCAATGTCATTGACCACTTCACCTGTGATTCCACTCCTTTACTGCAAATTTCTTGCACAGACACAAGCACTCTAGAGCTCATGAGCTTTCTTCTAGCTGTGCTTACTCTTATGTCCACTTTGACGTTAATAATTATCTCCTATTCTTACATCCTCAGAACAATTCTGAAGATCCCCTCAGCTTAACAAAGAAAAAAGGCCTTTTCAACCTGTTCCTCCCATATGGTTGTTGTCTCTATCTCTTATGGAAGCTGCATCTTCATGTATGTGAAAACATCAGCAAAGCAAAGGGTTGCTTTGACAAAGGGGGTGGCTATGCTCAATACCTCTGTCGCTCCTATGCTGAATCCATTTATTTACACCTTAAGGAACCAGCAGGTGAAACAAGCATTTGAGGATTTTGTGAGAAAGTTACACTCCTCAAAAACATGGATCTGACTGTAATTTATTATTGAAATATATACAATTTTAACCAGAGAGCCAGTGAATAATTTTTTAAAATATCTTCTGTCTCTTTTATTTCTTCTTAGAAATACAATTGTTTATGCTATTTTGGATATAAAATTCTTACACTGCAAATTCTTCTTAAATAAGTTTAGCAAAAAATCTATTATGGAATGATCTTGCATACTTTCATGTGATACAACTCAAAGTTAGAACTAAAGTTACTTCACATATGTACTTCAAAAATATCTACAAAGTGATGATATAAATCACTTCTAAAATATTTGAGCCAAATAAAGTTTCTTTAGTTATTACTTGCATGTAGGTCTAAATTGAAATGTACATATATATTTATGTACAAACATATATAAAAGTACATATGTATATGTGTATATGTATATATATACATATATATGCTTTTTAAAAAATGAAACATAGAGGTAAATCAGCCTTGTGAATAAGAAATAACTTGTATAAAATAAACAGTAAAATAAGACTGAATGTGGAAAAACAGGATGTTCATTTTTATGTTGAAAATGAAATTTAAATCATAGTTTACTTATATTCTATATAAAAAATTTAAAAATACATTACATATTTATCATGACAGAAAACCATTACAGGAAAAATATTTTTGCTGAGTTATTTATTATTTTTAGAGCAATTTAATGAATGTGTGCTTAAACATGAAAAAAAAAAAACAACTAATACAACAAGCTACGACTTTAAGAACAATTTCATGAATGTAAAATTTTTATAATTGGAATTAATACTTAAAAGGCAATAGCATGTAAGCACATTTCTATAAAATACTCTTATAGGAAGCTAGCAACATTTGGTTTGGGAATAATACTGTCCTCTCTGAAGACCCTAATTTACCCAAGATTGTGATTTAGGACTCTTTAACCATATAAATACTAGCTAATAGTATTGTTTTCTCTCTTATCAGAGTCTCACTCTAACTTTGGTAAGTTTTGATCATTGTATTTTGTGAGATTATACTAGTTGCCAGATAAACATTAAAAATAAAATCAGATAGAGAAAAAAAGATTAAATAAATTGAAAAATCTTAGGAAGACACATAAGAGACATAAAAATTCTACTTAGCTCAGGAGCTAGAAAGATAAATTCCTTCATACTATGACTATTTATTGCTTATAATTTTTCTCACATGCTTTCCCGTCTCTCTGTTTTTAATATGTATCTTTATTTGGTTCTATTTTGTTTTCTTCCTCCATAACAGATCATCTTCTATCATGTAATAAATGGTACACTACCTTTTAGACTTCATTTCACTCTTTTCAGTTCATGATAAAAAGCAGGAGACTCCTTGCCACCAAGTTCAATAAAAGCATCAGTTAGAAGATGTTAATTGATACACCTTTAAATAAGTAGCAATCATTGAACAATGTCTTTGATCCCTGAGCATCAGTTACATTTTTCATAGCCACAGTGTGTTGGTTAAGTTTTGTGTGTGCTAAAGTTAAGCTGTATAGATCTGTACTCTGGCTCTGTCATTTACAACCTTGAGCTTTTGAGAAAATTTTAAACTAAGGTTCAGATTTTTTACATGTACAGGAGGTACAGTAATTGTACTTAATCATAGATTTGTTGTTATAATTACATATAGGTTAAACCTCTAAAACACAACCAGTAATATAGTAAGTGCTCAGTAATGTTAATAATTATTGTTGTTATAATAATTACTTTTATTCACATAGTTTGTGTCATATTATAAAGTAAAAAAGTAGAGGTGGGGTGATGGAGTGACAGCTAACCTTGCTTGACAGTGAGAGGGAAATAGTTGTTGGGCATAAACAAATGATTCAAGTTCATTTCAGCCAACTCCATTTGGATAATTTGGTTGTATGGAAAGTATACCTGCAGATACAGAGGCACTTCCCAAGGAAATGACCACCTACGGATATTCTTTAAAGGGTAGCATAGACTTGATAAATTTATGGTAGCCAAAAAATTGGCCCTTTGCCTTGTCCCACTGTCATATTTTATCAGATTTTCTGACCAATCATAGTAAAGAAATAGTCAAATGTATAAGACNGCCAAAAAATTGGCCCTTTGCCTTGTCCCACTGTCATATTTTATCAGATTTTCTGACCAATCATAGTAAAAAAATAGTCAAATGTATAAGACAATGTAAATTAATCACTTAAAAAATATTTCATGTGTAGGGAGCCACATGAAATCATGTGGCTACGGAAGTTGACATCATTATACTACGGAAGTTGACTATCTTTTGATAAAATTAGGGTTGAAAAACTGAAAGTATGATCTCCCTTCTATCAAATCTGCTCTCTGCCTGTTATTTGATGAATATCACCTTACTCAACTTGGGAAACCAGAAACCTGGAATTCATCTCTTGCTTACATCAAATTGTCCATCAAATCTTGTAGGGTTAACTTCTTCATGTTCTGATCTTCCTAATGTTCTCATTTCTCACTCTTAATATGTTCGTTTGCTTCTTTAAAATGTATTATCTGGAGTGAGTCAATGTTCTGGCTGCTAAAATAACTCTGTACTAAGTGTAATTATGGAAGGAAAATAAAAAATACTTAAGCTGTTTCAGTTGGTAAGATAGTTAATAAAGGGCAGGAAATTAGAGGATGCATAACCTGTGGAAGAACTAGAGAAGCTAAGGAAGTTATACAATTGCATACAGTGCTTGAGTATGAGAAAATGCCCAACAGTGATGTTGGCAATCTTCAGCAATGGAGCTGGCAATTCTCATGTCGGCAAAATCTCATGTTGACTGACTACTGACTTTTTCCTACTGCCAACAGCTGCTTGTTTCTGTTTGTACTCTTTATCCTGAGTTGTTGTCTTCTCCTTATTTTCCCATATTCCAAATCCCATGAGCACCTTTCTTACATGGTTCTTACTTAGAATACTACTGACAAGACAGAATCTACAAGCAAGTTCAATTTAATAAGTGAGTTTAGTAGTTGACCAGACAGAAAGCCAATCTACAAAAATAATCTTTTTAATTTTTTAAATTACAGTTTACATTCAATATTTTGTATTAGTTTCAGGTGTATGACATAGTGGTTAGGCAATCATATACTTTACAAAGTGTTCCCATTGATATTTTCAGTACTCAACTGGCACCATACATAGTTATTACAGTATTATTGATAAATTTATTTCTTTATGATAGCAATAAATATTGAAATTCAAAATAAAGTAAACCATGCCATTAGTGACCAAAAAATGAAATACTTAGGTAGAAAGTCAAAAATCTTCCTCATTTTTTTTAATATTATTTTTAAATTTTTACTATTCTGATTGGGTGTTTTATGCTTCCTTGTCTTCCAAATTGCTGATTTGATCTTCTGCTTCATCTACTCTACTGTTGGTTCCCTATAATGTAGACTTCATATCAGTTAGTGTATTCTTCATTTCTAACTGGTTCATTAAAAAAATGAGGCTAGTATAAGGAGCCTCTTCAAATGTACCAACATTCATATTATGGGGGTGTTGGAAGGAAAAGAGAGAGAGCAAGAAATTGAAAACTTATTTGAAAACAATAATGACAGAAAATTTCCCTAATCTGGTAAAGAAAATAGATATACAAGTCTAGGAAACACTGAGATTCCCAAACAAGATGAGCCCAATAAGGCCCACACCAAGACACATCATAATTAAAATGCCAAAGGTTAAAAACAAAGAGAAAGAATCTTGAAAGCAATAAGAGAAAAGCAGTTAGTTACCTACAAGGATGCTCCCATAAGGATGTCAGTTGAGTTTACAACAGAAAGTTTGCAGGCCAGAAGGGATTGGTACGAAATATTCAAAGTGATAAAGGACCTATAACCAAGGTTATTATCCAGCAAATCTATCATTTAGAATCAAAGGACAGATAAAGAGCTACCCAGACAATAAAAAGCTAAAGAAATTCATTACCCCCAAACCAGTATTCCAAGAAATGGTAAAGGATCTTCTTTAAGAAGAAACTAAAGAGAAAATAAAGATAAAAAATATGAATAATAAAATGCCAATAACTACATATCTCTCGATAATTACTTTATTTTTTAAATTTTTTAATTGATTTTTAGAGAGAGAGGAAGGGAGAGGGATAAAGAGAAAGAAAGGCCGATGAGAGATCATCAATCAGCTGCCTCCTTCATGCCCCCTACTGGGAATTGAGCCCACAACCTGAGTATATGCCCTGACTGTGAATTGAACCTCGACCTCTTGGTTCCTGGGTCGATGGTCAACCAAAGAGCCACACCAGCTGGACTCTCAACAATTACTTTAAATGAAAATAAATTAAGTGCTCAAATCAAAAGCCATACAGTGGCTGGATAACAAAACAAGACCCTTACATATGCTGTCAACAAGAGACTGTCTTCATAAAGACACACACAAATTGGAAGTAAAAGGATGAAAAAGATATTTCATGAAAATGGAAATTTTTTAAAAAGCTAGGGCAGCTTATACCAGACAAAATAACATTAAAACAAAGGCTATAACAAGAAACAAAGAAGGACCCAGCAACTCCACCTCTGGATATTCAGCCGAGGAAACTCAAAACACTGAATTGAAAAGACATATGAGTCCATATGTTCCTTGCAGCATTATTTACAATAGCCAAGATATGAAAGCAACCCAAGTGTTCATCAATAGATGAATAAATTAAAAAATGAAGTGGTGCATATATACAATGGAATATATATGACTGAGCCATAAAAAAGAATAAAATCTTTCCATCAGCAACATGGGTGGACTAAGAGGGTATTTTACTGAGTGAAATCAGTCAGACAGAGGAAGACAAATGCCAGATGATTTTACTTATTTGTGGACTCTAAAAAACAAAATAAGAAGCAGAACAGAAGCACACTCATAAATACAGAGAACATTTTCAAGGTTTTCAGATAGGAGTGGGTTGAGGGGATGTGAAAAAGATAAAGGGATCAAGAAGTAGAAATTGGTAGTTACAGAATAGTCACAGGGATGTAAAGTGCAGATATGGAATACA